AGTTCCATTACATTGCATAGTAACTGCAGCATTCTCAGGAGCTTCACCAGTACACTCAATTATGACCTATAAAATTAAAAAATCTGATCAAGAAGAAGAATTTCTTACTGGTATATTATATAGTACAGTTGCTGTGTCTTCAGTAAAATTCAATATATCCAAAGTAGTGTTTTCTACAGCTGATCTAGGAACTATAAAAACCATATTAAGTCTATAATCATATGCTTGTTCACACTTAATTCCACAACATAGTACATCTATAAATTGTACCTCTTTGATATGAGAATGTAAATCTGCTAGATATTCCTTCTCCTAATTCATTAACTCCAGTTATAACATATGTATAACGATGAATAAATAAATTATTATCCACAAACTGATAACTGGTATCAGATACTGATACAACATCCACTAGACTACCAGTAATAGCATCATATATTCTTAGTATGTAGTATTGTATAAATACTCCATTATCAACTGTAGGTAGAGCAGTCCATGCTATATCAACAGGCCCGTAGCCAGGGGGGGTTCGGGGGGTTCGGACGAACCCCCTGTTGTAGCTGCAAAAAAGTTTTAGATTAGCTCCTGTCATGAAGAACAGCACTGCAAAAGCAGGATTAGCATTTTGGCAGCAGCGAGAAGCACAGATAGCCATTTTAGCTGAGTCAGCACATGGCTGAGATGCGTAGCTCAAGACCACGCCTACCAACCACGCCCATTCTGTTAAAATTCTTGCTGCGCGCTTCGCGCGCAGCAATTTCCGAACCCCCTGTTTCAAGTTCCTGGCTACGGCCCTGAGTAGTATACTATTTCACTCATTTGGAGTTTGTTCCTCTCACTAAAAGATATCGCTTTATGATGTACTCTAGAGATGATGTGTGTCAGTTACTGTCGAAGCAAGAAATGGGGATAGGGGGGCCTGACAGTGCTCTGAACCTTAAAGGAGACCAGAAGGTACAACCAGCCGATATTATCTTCTCACTCATTAGGCAGATAGTGATACACAACTCCTGGTGTGAGGGGTTCACTGATATACACTGGAGGATAACCATAGTTGATAATCCAGAGTTAGTTTATGCATCGAGCTTACCCACTGGTGATATGACGATATATTCTGGAACTTTACATGCGTGTCATAATATAGATGAAGCTAGTTTACTGCTCAGCCACGAATTGGCTCACATTATTCTTGATCATTCAGTTGAGCGCTTCAATCACTTGGTCCTAGTCTCTATGCTTGGACTGGTTTGCATTGCTGCTATATGGTTCTTCATTCCAAGTGTCTTAGTATCATTCTTTACTCACATACTCTTCAATGGAACTGTGACAATATTGTCCAATTATCGCTACAGTCGTAAGCTTGAGATGGAAGCTGATCGGGTAGGGCTACTGCTAGCATCAAAGGCTTGCTTCAATCCTGAGAGAGCCATTAAACTTTGGAAGCACTTACCAACGTTTAATGAATCAGACACTGTTCAGGAATTCTTTGAAACTCATCCATGCAATGAGAGGAGGTTCATGATACTGCAGTCACTTTTACCTCAAGCTAAGGAGCTGCACAGTTCTGGTCAGTGTGAGTCACAGATGAAGAAAGAAATGGAAGAATTTTCTGCA